CTATACAGCTAAGAAATTACTAAGCAATTTAGCAGGATACAGACCACATTCTGGAAGCAAGATTGAGCAGAGATATGGGTAGAATAACTGGTAACATGCTCCAGGCTGATCATTCTTCCAGAATATTCTAAAATTAAATTAAATTTATTTATAATTATTATATTTAACAAAAAAATGGCAGCCTAGAAGCTTGCCTCTTGCAAAATTGCTTAGTAATACTTAGCCTTATAACTTGATAAGAAATCTGGCTGTTTATTTGGTATTCAAAACAATTGTTAGGTTAGTAATACTACTTTCATTTTTAGTATTTTAGTATGTTTATGCTTCTATAGATAAATAACAATTAAGCATGCAATATTTTTTAAAAAATTCTAAAAATCTACATTTTTCATTACCTTCTCAAATGGTTCAAAATATATGATTCTTCCAAATGGTGAAGGAATGCAAAAGATATTATCAACCAAAAAAAATAAATTGAATTTTGGGCATTTTGTTATTCCTATTCTGATTAAAATTGGACAGATGATCATCTTTATTCTCTTCAAAATTCGGCAAGCTGATACTAATTGAAAATACAAATTTAGAAATAATTAAATTGTTTATTTTCACTTAAACTTTAAATAATTGCATTATTTCATTTATATTTAAATTAATAACAATGCACAATAACTATAATTAATGAATAATAAAAATAAAACTCATTCAGTCAAATGTACACAGTGAAAATACCAAACACACTAATGTAAAAATTTAAGACACTTGAACATAAATTATATTCACACAAACATTTTGAAGCTTATTTACTGCAGATTAGACATATACAATCAATTTTAGTTTAATTTCATTTCATTATAAAATTTCTAATTAAATGTACTACTATGGGAATGCAGGTGGTTACAACACAATAGCATAGTTTTAAATTGTTTTCCAAGTCCAATGATTATACAATTACTAAATGATGCAGACAAAATGTAACATTGCTAGTCTAAAATTTAAGGTAGAGCCTAATGCCATTTGAGAGTCTAGTGCCAAGTTTTAGTTTATTCTGGCCACGTGGATATTATCTTTGGAATAGAACACTTCTGATTGCCAAACTTCATAACTGTATTGCCATTTAAAAAAAACCAAAAAAAAACAGAGTTAAAATTTNCATTTTTAGAGTATTTATTTAAAAAAAGTAAATTTAAAATACTGTAATATTTATAATTAATTATTAAGTCATCTACATAAATAAAGATCATTTAAATAATCTAATTGCAGACTACATGTAAAGCTGGAATTATTATATCACTTATCTACAGTATCTATCACGTGTTTCCAGCAGTCATCCGATATTGCAAAATCCCAAGTACAAATGTTTTTGGCCCCCTTCAGTGGCCAGTTTCAGTCATTTCCATTGAAGATTTGCATTGGCATTCATCCAGAATGTTTAAAATGGTTTGACTGTCAGCTCAAATCTTTGGTGGAAATGCCTGAAGCTAGCCACTCAAAGGGGCCGAAAACATTTGTACTTGGGATTTTGCAACATCAGGTGACTGCTGGAAATATGTGAAAGGTATTGCAGATTAGTGATAATCTAATTGCATCACATAGATAACGAGGGGGATGACAACTTTGGTGAAGTTATGGCTGCCCCAATGACATCTGGAAAGATCAAATCCCCATCGGGAAGAAAACGGGCAAACCTAGATTCGTGTTCACAGTTAACCAATAGGGAAAGGATAGAATTAGGTAATGTCCTAGAGGACTACCAGAGGCTGTTCGATTCAAGACCGGGGAGAACAGCTGCTGGATGCCATACGATTGCCTTGAAAGAATGATGGCAACCAAAATGCCTAATGACGTATAGGATACCTCTGGCTTTAAAATCCAAAGTGGTCGAGATGATTGACGAATTAATTGAGGCTGGGTTAATCAAAAATAGTTCCTTGAAGTTTGCTCACCTGATTGTTTGTGTTGCAAAGAAAGAGGGGGATCCAACTCTGTGTAGATTATAGATATTTAAATGCACGCACCATAGCGGATAGATATCCTATGGCGCATCTGACAGAGCTCATCTATCAGATTGCTCAGTCCCGATATATAATCTCACTAGATTTAAGTAGAGGATATTGGCAAGTGCCTCTAGATCCTAGCTGTTGACACATGACTGCCTTTATAACGCACAGGGAACAATTTTCTTGGGAGGTAATGCCATTCGGGTTAAGGAACGCATCTGTCACTTTTCAATGTATCATGGACAAAGTTTCAGCCCCGATAAGGCTTATGCGATAGCATATATTGACGAAATTGTCATCTTTTCCAATTATTGGCACAAACACTTAAGACACATAAGAAGCGTATTAGGTTTGTTACAAAAGAATGGGTTTACCGTGAATATCACTAAATGTCAATTTGCACAACCGCATATCAAATACTTAGGGCATATCGTTGGGCCAGGTCAACATAACCCCGATCCGGATAGGGTTAAGGCAATCACCAAGTTAGAACTACCAAAAACAAAAAAGCAAATGCATAGTTTCTTGGGAATCTGCGGCTATTACCGAGACTATATCAAAGGTTTCGCCAACGTGACAGCACCCTTAACCAATTTATTGAATCGCCGATCTCCTAATGTCATAAATTGAGACCCTGTGGCCACCCAAGCCTTTTGTGCAATCAAGGAGAGATTAGGGAAGGTTCCATTTTTGTACGCACCCAACCCGGAAAGCCCGTATGTGTTAACATACGGGCTTTCCGGGACATGCTGTTGGCATGTGTCTAGCCCAGATGTTGCCCAAGGGCAAGGAGAGACCAGTAGCCTTCGCAAGCAGGAAGTTACGTGGATCGGAACTACATTGGGCCACAATAGAGAAGGAGGTGTTTGCAGTGGTATGGGCTTTGAAAAATTTCATTATTATTTATATGGGAATGCCGTTAAGGTAATAACTGACCACAACCCTCTAAAGTATCTGACATTAAGCACACCTCATAGTGCAAAATTGGTACGTTGGGCATTTGGCATTACAAAATTATAATGTAGAAATTGAGCACAGGAAGGGGGAGAATCATACTAATGCTGACGCCCTATCTAGGCTGGAAATCAACAATAATCTGGAACCTCCAGATCAGACAGACAGGGCATATTAAATTCGGTATTAAATCCTTCAGATGGATATAAGTGATATCTACGAGGCGATTTTGAATATAGATCAATGGAACAATTTGTCAATGATAGTGTTGTACTGTAAATATGTATCTGCTAGATGTTAAGTACTTATAGTGGTAAATAATTTGTTAGGTTACAATAATAACCATAGTGATCTGCTCCTTGTATTAGAAAAGGGAGAAATGTATTGTAAGAACTGATTTGTGTAATGATAATCATAGTATATAGTGATGGTGTATGTTTAGGTCAAACAGGCTTTTGTTAAAGTACAGTTTGAACCTTGTCGATGGGAGATGTAAAGTATTGACCTTTTAGCAGAGAGGGAACAAAAGAAGTGCTGACTTTGTCAATTGAACACACCTGTAGTCAGACATTAGACCATTTGCCATATGGTAAACAACTGAATGTAAACAAGTGGCGGACGCTTATGTAAGCTCCACTCTCATTGGATGACGGTGGACCCGAGTGTAAGCTGTTCAGAGTTTGGGAAAGAACTTCACTAAGATCTAGTACGTGAGTCACTACGCATTGTCATCCTGTCGACTGCGCCAGTGAAGATCTTAGTGAAGTTCTTTTCCAAACTCTGTCTTGTTGAGTTGGTTTCTGTGTGTATCTCAATTTGATGTAGTGATCCAGGTTCGATGGAAAGCACACCTCCATCCTCAAATTGATAATATTTACAGTTTATTTACAGATTTTATATGCAAAAAGTACAAGTTCAAAAACATAATATATATACAGGATAACAACACATAGTGACTCACGTACTAGATTGGTTTCCGGGAATTGTTAAACTTTGGAGAGGCCTCAGTCAGCTTGTGGAGTTGGCTCAACTGCATGGTCAGTCCAGTCTCTGCACTAACCCATCCTTGAAATGTTTACCAGAGAAGAACACTCTCTCTACGCTCAGCGGGCTTCCCAAGTGCCTGAGACTACCATGTGCCAGTCTTGAGAGAGGAAGGAAGAAGGGCAAGACCCTTCTCTCTTCGCCCCACAATTTAAGGGTTTTTTGGACGGGGACTTCAGACCAATCACAACCTTTCTTGCCCGAACAGCTGACACTTGGGTCCGCCATCATCCAACGAGAGTGGAGCTTACATAAATGTCCACCACTTGTTTACCATATGGCAAATGGTCTAATGTCTGACTACAGGTGGGTCCAATTGACAAAGTCGGCACTTCCTTTGTTTTCCCTCTGTTTACAAGTCAACACCTTACAAGTGGTATATTGCCTGACTGCATGTGGGTCCAATTGACAAGGTTGTGCTTCTTTTGTTCCCTCTCTGCTAAAAGGTCAATACTTTACAGATCACATATAATGTAGACACATGCCAATATGCATGATTCATTAGTCATTACAATCAACACAATTAACATAAAGACAACTAGTAGAACAGTCTTCTTTACATACTACTTTTCTTTGCTAGTTTCACTTTCATATACAATTTTTACATATATTCATAACATATTAAAGAATAAAAGCAGTACAATATAATAAAAAATAATTATATTACAATATAATTAAATTTCATATATTAAGTTGAACTGGAAGATAATCACAATTACTACATACTCAAACCTCTTTTAAATTCCAACAAAAACTTAATTTAACAAAACTAACTCTAACTTATCAAAATGACCTAAAATGTTAGTTTTGCTAAATTAAAGGTTTTTTTTTTTGCTGGAATTTGAGGTGATTTGAGCATGTAGTTATTAAAATAAATTTTAATAATATATTTTAAATTCAGAAGAACTGCAAGTTTGGACACTTGGTACATAAGTTTTGAAACTTTAAAATATATTAAATAATTGCAAATAAAAATCACTTTTTTTAAATAAGAATATGATTTACCTCTGACTAACACCTCCATAACATTTGAGGTTCCTGCTGTTCCATGAATATTGTATGGTGTACATCTATATCTTCCCTGATGTTCGTGGCTTACTCGCTGAAAGAGCAGGGAACCATTATTCAGAGTAACAACTCCAGGTGTTGAGTTTGGATCAAATGGTCTCCTGTCCTTGGTCCAAGTAATAAACTGAAATGGTGGATTAGCTTGAACATAACATCGAATAACACCAGAAAGTCCTAATGGAAGATACTGGATGGTAGGAGAATATGTTACTCTGGCAGGATCTACAAAAAAAAAATACAAAATTTATAATTCTTCTAGTATTATTATCTTATCTGATTACTAGAGTTATTTATATTTACATCTAAATAATGTGCAAAAATTATTCTGTACTATAATCTAACTCCATAATATGAACAATTTCACATTGCCTTTCTGTTTAAACTGGAGTTCATAATAATATAAATCACCAAGTTGACTTGTCAGTTTAATGATTTGTTTTTTTACGAACTCCAATTCGAGCAGAAAGATAATACAAGATTCTGTACTATTTTCTAAAATATATAGTTAAAATATGAGTAATTACTTATTGTGATATCTTTGCAATGCCAGGTTACAAATTTTAATCATATTTTAATTTAAAAATAAGCTTTCCATATCTGGTCTCAATTTTCATCTATCTGACTGTTCTCAAGATTAATGGAAGGATAGATGAACAGACAAATGGTGGGATTGTAAAGGTCTGCAATTTGAAAACTGCAGTCCAATAACTAGGTAATTTTTGCATAATTACATTAAAATAAATATAAACTTTTTTTAAACTGAACGTTATAACTAGTATTATTTGGTACAAAAAATTGAAAAAATACAGAACACGTATTTTCAAAATCTGCATAGAAGTTTAGAATAACAGAATACATACCATAGTAGTTTGTATAATAAAAAATATAAGTTTGTTATATAAATAAATAAAAAATAAAAATATAAGTTTATAACTCAAATGCGAGTTCGAAGTCCAAAAAATATAAGATCAAAAATTAAAGTAAAAAAGCCCTTGTAAATCAAATCTGCAGGAAAAGTTTTAAAAATGTTTATATCCAGTTTGTGTGTCAATATGTGTATAAAACAATTTTCATACCATACTAGGCTGCATTTCAGTAGCATAACTACAACTGATGTTAGAATGACCTGAATTAGAATGTGTAATCCTACATTCACCCCTGTACTACAGCAGATATAACCACTTGCATTGTAGATGAAGAGTAAACTTTTAGATATTGTATATACCTGTTTATAAGTGTGTTTGTCACATTTTCAAATCTTTTTCCTTATTTGATTTTTTCCTCAATTTATTGATTATATTTACTCAAACCATATTATAAGATGCCATCAAATCTAAGATGCACCTTAATTTTTTACATGCTCACCCACTTTTTGGAAAAAATAGGCTAATTTATGTCAACAAAATTGATTCTGTCGACATAAATTTTGTCAGTATTTATTGTGCAATAAGTCACATATCACTGTCTTCTGCAGTGTAAAAGTCAGAAATTCTTCACTTTATATTAAGACTCTTTTGAACCACACTGCATTCAATGCTCACATCTTTCCACACACATTATCCTCAGTACAATTTGAAGCATCTAGAAGTCTAACATTTATTGAGAGTGCTGCAAAATTGTTTGAGATTTTTATCCAAGTACTTAATGTTACTGTAATAGACTAACAAAACTGAGCTAAGATGATCTTTTAAGTATATAACATCTACTGCACACCGGACTGCATAAAAAAATAAATATGATGTACTTGAACCTATAACCGATGTGTATCGAATAATCTTTCAACGACAAACGTTTTTGGTGTTCAATCCAGCTGTTTCACCTGAAGAAGAGCCCAGAAGGGATTATGAAAACGTTCGTCGTTGAAAGATTATTCGATACACATCGGTTATAGGTTCAAGTACATCATATTTATTTTTGATCTTTTAAGTATTTGCTAATACAAATATTGGTCTAATAAAATCATTAAAATGACATAAAGGAGTTAGTGACTTCTAATGACAGAAATATGACACTAGAGGTATATTACATTGAATCTAAAATGTACCCTATTTTTAGAGATTCTAAACCTGAAAAAAGTGCATTTTACATTAGAGTAAAAATAGTATGAATTAGTCTTATGATGCATTCTAATTCATAGCAAATTAACTTGATAAAATGAAATTTCTCTTTATAAATACTGAAAACTGCATATTATGTTGTTCACTGTCTGTTTCTTAATCTGATTCCCTTTTATTTTTCTTTACATCATTTTAAAATTTAGTCTATTACACATAAATACATCTAATGGCATGCCATATTTTTATTATAAACAACTTTTTATTTTGATTTTGAAACTGTAGTTTATATAATTTGATATATAGATTAATTAGCTATACTGAAAAAACAGACACTTTCTTCATACTGCTGGAAAAATAAGCAAAGTATTACAAGCATTTTCAGCTTCTTTGATAGCCTCCTACAGGTTGTTCATATGATCAAATTTTGTTGAAACTTTAAAAAAAAATGTCTTATTAAATAATGTATTAAAAATTTTTTGATTTCGATATCTTTTCTCAATATAAATCTTTAAGATAATTAAATACCATATTTCCTCAATTAAATCCAGGGATTCAAATAAACTCTAGTCTTTGAAAAAACCCCAAGAAATAATGTTAAAAATAAATCCTAAATTTAAAAGCTTGAAAAACATGTAAAATTACTGCATTGTATTGGGTAATGTAGTTTAAAGTGGCAAATAAAAAGTTTAATTAAAATGAATATACCTCTTCAAATTGTTTAGAGTCAGACAGTGCTTTCTATTACAAGATTCAAGGAAACTTTTTTTGGAATAAAATTATCCAGAAGATCCATATAACTTGGTACTGAAATTACATAAATCAAAAGATGATGAAAGAACAGCTAATTAATGAAACCAAGAACATAATTTAGTGGAATGTTTTTGGTCTTTTTTTTACCATTGTTAGTCTTTTGAAAAAAGTATCTTGGAATGTAGAATACTTGCAGTGTTCCTTACATGTATTTCAAATATTTAAATTTATAAATGTTTTTAATATTAAAAATTACTGAAAAATAGTGGATAAAATAACAAATAAAATTAGAATTAAATAAATAAAATTATAAAACTGGATAGCTGCTAATTATCCTGTTATAGATGGATATATTCAATGAGTTCAATAACCACCTCCATGTTATGAAGAGTTCATGGGCTTCATGTTTATTTATAACCTCACTATCTTTGTTGAAATAATAAATATATAATTATTTGAGTAATCTAAATTGGAGAAAAATTATATTCTTTAATAATACAAAGATGATTCCACAGGCAATACTGGGATAGAACAAACACACAACAAACCAAAATGATACGCACCACTAACGTCTGTATAAGTTAAACTTAGTTGGCAATGCTCATATGCACAAACACACAACAAACCAATATCAGAAAATTTGAAATTAGGAAATAAATAAATATTTACTAACATTTTCATCTAAAAATAGTTTAAAACAGACATCATCAGGCACATAACACAAAACAAAATGGCTACATTAAAATCGAATGTGTTTTATGAACAATTTACAAGATCTTGCTGGCTTTCAACATCTGAAATATTTATTCTAAAATGTTTTAAAAATTTTTGTTCTATTTGAATGGAGTAAGTGCAAATCAACATTCAATATGTACATATATAAACATCTCAAAGCCCAATAATTATATTAAAGCCAAACAATCAAAGGATTAAATTGGACTACATTACCACTATTAATAATTATTGAATACCAAGTAATTTGGCACTAGAAGTAGGCATTAGATGTCATATCTTATTAAATTTAATAATTATAATTAAATTAATATTTATTAATTTAGAAAATTCTGGAAGAAAAGAATTGTTCTGGAGTGGGACTTGAACTTCAACTGCCACTTACCATGCAGATGTGTTGCCAGTTATACTACCTGGACTACCATGCCATATATACACATCACATATGTGGCATAGCATATATATACAAATTACATATATATATATCATGCCAGAGTAAAATGATAGATGGCTGAATGTCATAGTGGGTGATTATAGGTCCTAGTCAGTGCTCTGAGTAACTAGTATGGTTATTTCTAGATTAAATTTGTCTGGAAATGGAAGATCAGAGAGACATTTGGATAATGTAACTGGCAATGCATCTGCAAAGTAAGCAGCAGTTGCAGGTTCAAAGTCCTGCTCTGACCCAATTCTTCCAGAATTTTCTAAATATTAATATAATTGTAATTATGAAATATAATAGGAGATGGTGCCTAATGCCTACCTCTAGTTCCAAATTACTTAGTATTTAATTAATCTGGTAATCATTTGACTTTAACATTCAATTTGTATTTTTTCTGAGGAAGATCAGTAAGATACAGGTGTGTATCAATCAAATAATTTAGTATACAATATTTGGTGTGAAAATCATCATACTGATCAATTTAGAAGGGTATAGAGGACAGACAAACAGCCACTCTAATTTTATATATATAAATAATAAATTTTAAATAATTAGAATTCACAATACCTATCTAAGTCATAACCAAATGTATAGTTAAGTATTACTCTACTCATTTACTGTTGGATTGCCTAGTTCTTGGAAGTTATAGAGAATGCAAGATAATTTCAATATTACACCAAATTAATCCATCAGACAATTTAAGCACAGTTTTAAGAGAGTAACCAGTAACATTAAAAAATGGTGTCATACAGAATGACATCAGCAGAAAATCTGGCAATAACTTGGTAATTCATCACCCAATTTTAATGAAACTTGTTTTATTTTGTTTCTATTCTCATTTGGGTGTAGGATTCACAAAAATGTGATATTTTGAGCTGTTTTTTCTGTATTTAATTACAACCAACCAACAAAACAATTTCGGAATTTTAGTAGTGATATAGATTTATACTTGAATTGTTAAATTTGAAAAACTTTAAAATTCTGTGATCACTTTGAAACAGAACAGTATTCTAAAGATAGATGTAAATATAATTGTTTAATTATATTTGAGTAAAGAAAAAAATCAGAACAAAGTTATATTCACTTTTGCTGGGAAATTTGTATCAGTAATATAATACTTGTAGTTTTCTAATATATATAAAGAGAACCTAAAGTATTCTGTGGTTAGTTTTAGCTTTATTTTTATTGAAAAACTGATTATATTTTATCAGTTTTTTCAATAAAAATAAAGCTAAAACTAA